ACCAACCAAAATTCATGTGTAACAGCCCTCACGATATTTCGATCTGCGTAACCGGTACAAACTTTTATTTCCATCACCTCACAGAAACGTATCATCGCAGCATGCACCAAACGAGATTTGCGTAGCTTGAGATTTAGAATAAAAACGGGACAAAAGTTAAATGTAGTAATTCAGCAAAAATTCAAATTAAATCGTGCTCGTAACAACAGAAGAGTTCAGAGTTAACATGAGAATGTTTCATGGTAATTATGCCACCCGCTGGCGTAATGCAAAACTCTTCAATTCTCGGGCGCTTTAAAAAAAGTCAAGCGGCGTTTTTTGCGGAGCAGGGTTTCATGACCTTTTGACATTGTTAGTATGCTCCCTCAGCCGACGTAGCTCTCGCACACTTGCACGGGAGCTTGAAGGCGTTGTATTGGGGGTGTGTGTGTTCGCCTGGTATGACATCACGTTGCTCTTGAGCAGGAGTGCAACGCATACCTTCGAGCCTGGAGCCAGGGCAATGAAGTGTAAAAAGCGTAAACACGTGATACATACATATATCCGAGTATGTACAATTTCTTTAGCTACAACAATAGCAATAATATTAATGACAAAGCAAATTAGTACGGTGTTTTACTTTCTCAATTGACAAAGACAGAGTCAATATTTGTGTTTGGTTTTCTGATCCGGATAACCCTTTCTAAAACCTTTTATATTGTCAATATCATAGCTTTTATAGAGTTTAAATGGGGAAATTACTCGGAAAAAGCGTTAACTTCTGTTGAACCGAAGCTATAAAGCCCCTTCAAATATACAAATCCTCACGAGAACTTGGATCAGTCAGTTTTTATCGCAGCTTAATGCTATAGTGGCCCGATATGAATAATTTCTCCGTCAACCAGTTTGCTTACCGCAGCTGCTTAAGGCGGTACACCTCAATAGTTTGCGATTTTTACAATGGATAAAAATATCGAACAAAGAATTTGTCTCAAATTTTATATTTCTAACCAAGTTTCGTGAGCGGAATTGTTGCGAATGTTTGAAAAGGCTTACGGTGATACAGTTTTATTAAGAGCACAAGCCTACGAGTGGTACAAAACTTTCAAAGGCGGACAAGAGATCATTTAAGACATGTCTCGTTCTGCACGACCTCTCCGAAATCTTTCGCGAGTCCATTTGAATGATTTTGATGGTCATTTAGGTTATGAAAGACGTTCTTGCCGATAAAGGGACGATCGCTTGATATTATAACTGCCGATGAGACCTAAGTTTATGAATTTGACATCCAAATAAATCAGTCATCATCGGAATGGAGGGCAAAAAACGATCCGAAACCAATAAAATCACGTCAAATATACTCAAAATCAAGATGATGCTCATTGTTTCTTCCAATATTCGTGGTTTGGTGTATCATGAATCGGTTCCGGAGGGACAGACCGTCAATAAGGAGGTCTACTTGGCCGCACTGAAGCGTTTGCGTGAAAATATCCATCGAAAACGGCTGGAATTATGGAAAAAAAATTCATGGATTTTACACGATCATAATGCTCCATCGCACCGAGCCACGATTGCGTTCGAATTTAAAGCTAAAAACGCAATGAATGCCTTCGATCGAACACCTTATGCCCCAGATGTTTGATCGTATGTTTTGTTTTATTTTCTTTTTTTTTTTTTTTTTGTGTTTTTTGTTACCCAAACTGAAGTTGCCGCTCCGTGGAAACCGTTTTCAGTCGATCGAAGGGATGAAACAAAATTCACTGAAGGAGCTGAAGACCATACCAAAAAGTGCTTATGAAAAACATTTCGTGGATTAGAAAAATCGTTGGATTATCTTGAAGTCGACAAAATAAATATTGATGAATAATTAAATATTTTGCATTTTATATACATACATTTCCTGGTACTGTTTGTATGTAAAATAGGGATATGTTAATATACATATGTATGTTCACACTTTGTACCTTTAATCAACGTTGGCGCTATCTCCGGTCATGTTTATAAATTATCATTACGCCGTGTATGTACATACATATACATGAATATTAAAGGGAGAAATTAAAAAAAAAATAATAATAATAACAAAAAAAACGATGCTTTTACCTGAGGTGCTTACATATGTACATAGTCTCATGGGCGCGCACAAAGGCTCGTCTAAAGCACTTCTTCAATATATAAATACATATGCTGTACATATATATCGACATAATATGTATATACATAAGTGTGTGTATAGCCATTGGTGAAGTGCTTGTGTGCTTCTGCGTTTGTGAACCTCAAGTATCAGCTTTAACATTTTGAGTGTGTGCGTTCTCTGTACACTCTTCGCTGAGAACATCGTTTCTTTGTGAGTACAAAGATTTGTGCATCTCTGTGCCTATGTGTGTGTGAGTTTAAGTATCGTTGTTTGTGCTGTGTTGTCGATTTATTTATGCGTTTTGATTTTAATGAGTTTGCAGAAATTGACAGTTGTGACAACATTCTGAAGTGTTTGCTGAAGTGAAAGTAATAGAAAGTCAAGTCTCAAACCACAAGTGCAGTTATTTCTGCTAAATAGTATCGATATATGAAGATTTATTTACTTTGATAACACTATACTCATTCACATGGACACATAAACGGGTCTCACTTTCTCATGCAGAAATTCTTAACAAATGAAGAGCAAAATATTATTCTGTTCCTTAGAATATTGTATAACTTTTTACCCTTAAACTAACAACGTGCCGAAGAGGAACTTGCAGAATATTACGCTAAAGTAGTTACAAATGTTTAAAGTACGAATGAGCATATTGGTTTTTTCGGGTAAAAAATAGCCTATTTCAAAAAAAAAAAATTTCATATAAAAATTAAATATTTTATGAGAGTTTTTTATTGTTACAAACATACACTATTAACAAAGAAATTCTGAAATTTTAAACTCGGCCATTGCAATGCGTTGGCAAGATAACTCATTACAGGATCATCCAAAGTCAAAAAAATACATATTTGGAAAAAAAACAAAAACAAATTAGAAAACAAGGAAAATTTCTGCGAAAATTCCACCACATTATTTTTTGAAATAGTTGTAATCGAAAAAAAATATATTATTCATCCAAATCTATAAGAATTGTATCTCAAAGACCTGTGTAAAATTTCATGAAGATCGGATGAGTAGTTCTCGAGAAATCTTGCACATAGCCTAGTTAGCCTCGAGCGCACAAGTGTTCAAGGCGGTTTCTCCGGAACTGTTGCTCAGGTTAACTTGAACATTTATGACAAACTCTAGAATAGAGTTGTTGTAGAATTCACCGTAAACCCATGTAATCCCTTTACTACTAATTGGATCTTCAAATCATCTTCCTGGGTTTTAGATGAAAAGATCATTTCAGAAATGGTTTTCTAACTTTGAAGAACGTACAAGTTACAAAAAGAGTTAAAATAGCTCCTCGAATGTGCACGAGATTCTGCAGGAGACCTACCATAATCGAACGTTTCCGAACATAAATTGAAGTATCATGGTATCTAGTATCTAGGTAGTCTTTGAGATTGGGGTTTTATTTCAAACACCTCTTTCAGTTAACTCATATTCGTTAACATTTCAATAACAATTTAATGTCTTGCATTTATTTAATTTWAAAAGATAAACATATAGCATACATGCCACGGCTTGCGGTTACAAGTTCAGAATCGGCAACAATTCGGCTTGTGACAGCGCAGTTGATCAAATTTCCCCAAAGCCGTGCACGTAAAATATTAACCGAAATGCAAATATTCCAGACATTCCCCTGCAACAAAAGAATTCGCAAACAAATGCAAGTTTGCATACACGCCTAAGAATTCTGGCAAAAAATCGCGCACCACGACGCACAGCGCCKAACGCGCTGCTTCGAAATATGCAACTAAGCAACAAAAGAAGGCAGCAGGAAAGCAAAAAGGGGTAAATGTCACGCGACACAAAACATATAGCGGTTATTTGTACAACAAAAGATGCCCCGATCTGAATTTCARCTCTGAGGGTGGAAGCGCACAACAAATTTGCGGCATGCAGCGACTTACATATTTGGTACGTGAGCGCTCACACACATTGATGTGGTTGCATTATATATGTATGAATATAGCACTTAAGTATATATCTATTCACACGTGAGTCGGTGAAAGAATAGCAAAAAAAAAACCCAAAAATGTTCGCATGCAGTCGGAGCAGCTGCCAAACGCAAGTGAATGACACCGCACAAAAAACACAGCGAGTTCTAGCAATAAAAAATAACCGAAAGAAAGCATTTGGGAATTGCAAAGTCATAGTCAGCATCCTTCGGAGCTTTGTAAATTTTAATATTTTCAAATTGGACTTGGGTTTTATTAAAATAATGTGCTTCTATGACAGGGGTAATGCTCCGAAATTCTACGAAAAGATGCGACGGCTAACAGAAAGTTTCAAGACCGGAGCATACTCTTGTAAACCCCCAGAGGTGATCTAGTGAATGATGCCCAAAAGCATACTAAAATTAAGGCGGGAACACTTCTCCAGCCTGCTGAATGGCAGTGAAGGCATAACACCAGGAGAAGGCGAACCTGATTCTCCAATCGATTACGATGGAGCAGACATTCCATTGCCCGACCATGAAGTAGTTCGAATATCAATTACCCGTCTGAAGAAGAAAAAACGGCAGGAATCGAAGATTTGCCTACCGAGCTATTCAAACACTTCGGTGAAGAACTGATAAGAAGCATGTATCAGCTTATTTGTAGATTGTGGTCTGACGAAAGCATGACAGACGATTGGAATTTAAGTGGGCTCCACAATCCATAAAAAGGGAGACACGACAATCTGCGCCAACTATAGTGAAATAAACCTTCTCAATGTCGCATATAAGGTTCTATCGAGCGTATTGTTTAATAGACTGAAGCACACCGTCAACAAACTGACCTTATCAGTGTGGCTTTAAACCTGGAAAATCTACAATTGACCAGGTTTTCAAAGATTCATCTTTGTATATTTAGAGATATTTGGACTAGATCTTTATGTATGTACCATATATTTTGTCTATTAAATTTTATTTTGTATAGCTACCAACAAAAGTACTGTATCTAACACAAGCCGTCCAAGTTTTTAAACTCTAAGTTTTTTTAAGAAAAAATATCTTAAATACTCCAAATATTTCCCCTTTTGCAATTATAAATAATCAGCCTCCCGTTGCAGCGACTTTAAATACTTCAACAATAAAACATGTAGTCCGGGTACTAAAAGTAATCCAAATAGGTATCCAACCAATTGAGACCTTCCGGACAATCGGCGAATAATTTTAAGCAATCTGCCCCAGCAACACCAGCCTCTCGCGCTCGCTGATAACTCTTGTCCAAGTCTTCCACCCCGGGCCTATAACAATTAAATTATCAATGAGAATAATCGAGTGAGATCATTATTCTATTTGAAGTACATACGTAAGCACTGTATCCAGGATTTCCGACAACAACCCCACATGTTGGTCCACCTGTGCGTTTTGACATATGGAGCGCAGCAAGCACTGTCGACCGTCAACTCCACGTTGACTCATTAGTGTCTCCAGCAAAGTATAAAAGAACAGTCGTGATTCGTCTGCTTCATAAGCATAGGCGGCGAGATCCGGTTGGCTGTTATGTAAAAGCCGAGATTTGCGCGCGAAGGTATCCTCCCATTTGTCCCACGGATATAGTGGAGAAGAGGGTATTGAATATTGGCCGCCTTGAAGACTGTACGAACAAACGAGTGATCGCCATGTAATCGGGTCGGCTAAGTTAACTTGTCCCGATGGGCCAACGGATAACTGTTGAGCAAATAATAACATCAGCGGGAATAAAATAAGCAAAATCAGGAAATCATGATTTGGTTCTATCGACACGGAGCATTCTTACAAAAGAGTTTTTTTACGCATATTTACAAACACAATTATTCCTAGATATATAGACTTTATAATTCTCAAAATGTGCACTAAAGAGGAATCTCCGGTAGGGCCTCTCTTGTCGAAATTATTGTTTAAAGTTTTTGCAGCACTGTACTTTGTATTCACTTCTTGTAATTTCAAAATGTGATTTTGTTATTTTCTGTACACCATTCACCTTTATTGAACCGCTGTCGTTGAATATCAGGGTTCTCTTCTTACGGACATGTATGAAATCTGTCAAATTCGCCCCGACCGTTATGCTATGCACGCTGGCACTTATACAATACAAGCGAAGCAGGAAGCACGTCAAAAGAATTTCTATCAGCTGCATACTGTGCCCCCATGAACGAACCAATCGAAGCTAAACACCACCGAACCGTTAGATTGTTGCTAATCAGACGAATATCGCACACTGCCGAATGGTAAAGAAATGAGCTCTCGACCAGACGTGCAATGCCTTTATATTCTCACAGAATTTTCATACTCAATTGAGTGGGCGAAGAAGTCACGGAAGTTCATGGAATTTAACTACAAATCGCTGGTCACCAAACAAATATTTAATTTCCAATTAACAGCTGAAAACCAAAATTGTTTTTGAGATGGGCCCATCATGCGTTGATCCAGTTAGTGATCTCTTTATTATGGTTAGAATGATACTTAATAATGGAAGTGTGTTAATTATTAAATAAATATATTTATACGTATGTACATACGCACCTGCTTAAATTCGTGCGTGAGTTAGATTAGATTTTTCCAAAACAAATCGAAATAGCTGTTTGAAAGAGCAAGTGCTTTCTTTATGGGCAGCATAACAGTATCGAGTATAGACACGAGGCAAGTACATTAGAGCGGGTTGCTTTCTGGAAATTAAAAAAATGTCATATGGAAATAATCTACAAATCATTCTAAACAAGTTTGACTATTGCTCGGTTTCGAGCCAGCAATTTTTAAGGTGAATTTTTTAGGGATCATACAGATGTTTCGTCATTTTTTGTGATACACGAATTGAATTCAATAACACAGTGCAACAGCTAATCTGGGGGGTGAGAAATTCCAAGTCAGGCTGATGGTACTAGGTCAGTATAGTAAAACCCTCATAGAGTTTGGCGTTCGTATGTGTCAGTTTTTTTTATGACCTTTTAAATTTTTTTTGTTATTTCCCATGGGTTTCCATCTTAACAAATTAATTTTTTCCAACCAAGCATACTAAATGGTCCAGATATACCAAAGCTGATTAAAAGTGACGCATTGAACAATATTTTGATTGACGCTGAATTGAATGCATGGCAGGCAATCAAAGAAGTGGCTTGTTCAACTACGCTGTTTCTGTCGCAAGGATGTTAAGAGCATTCTCGGAAATTGTTTTTTTTGCGAAAAACCATCAAGATAAGGAAACAATTTTACGAAAAACCCTTTGAGGGTTTTACTATTCTGACCTCGTACCATCACCTTGACTTGGAATTTCCCACCCCCCAGACCTAAAAATGTTCCACAGTGTAAGTAGATTGATTTTAATATGATAATTATCATTTGGCGAGTCGGCAATATCGAGCAATTCTATGACTTATCTCCCATACAATCGGGTATTAAGATTTTTTAAATTTCTCCTTAAACCTGCTGGCTCGAAACAGGTTTCAGACCCACGGTCAAATTTGTTCAGAATGATTTAATGAACGTAAGCAATTTTTTTGAAAAAAAAATCGATCCGCTCTAGTAAACATGCAGAGAAAAGTATGGTTTCAAAGGCGCATATGAAATCTTTATAGTCGAACTCACAATCCTAGTATAAAGAGAATATGTTAACTTAAAATTCATGAAATTTGAAGTTCAGAAATTCTAAAAATACCAAACCTGTAAATTATAAAAGCATGCCCGACAATTGGAATTTAAATCCACAAATCCCTCGTCACTGTGGGCAGTCATAACTTCGAAGTCGTTGATAATTTCGACTATATTATTAACCGCAACAATAATGCCAGCCTCGAAATCCAATGCAGAATAACTGTTGCCAACAGTTGCTACTTCAGATTGAGTAGGCGATTGAGAAGAAATGTCTTCTTTCGACGAACAAAGACCAAACTCTTTAAGTCACTCATTATTCCCGTCCTACTATATGGTGCAGAGGCATGGACGATGACAACAGACGATGAGTCGGCGTTACGGTTTTTGAGAGAAGGTTATGAGGAAGACTTATGGTCTTATGGTCCTTGGGGCATTGACAACTGTAACCACGACAGTCGATGGAACGATGAGCTGTATGAGATATCGTCGACATAGTCTAGTGAATTAGGAGACAGCGGCTACGATGGATAGCTCATGTCGTTCGAATGGATGAAAACACTCCAGCTCTGAGAGTATTCGACGTAGCACCCAGAAGCAGTGGAAGCAGAAGAAGAGGAAGACCACCACTCCGTAAAAAAGACCGGGTGGAGAATGACCTGGCTACACTTGGAATCTCCAATTGGCGTCAAACAGCAAAAAAGAGGAACGACCGGCGCCCTGTTGTTAATTCGGCTAGTTATAATAAGTTATCAATTTGTTATTCTCAAAGACCATTAATGAAACAACACAAATTTTATCCCAAGGTATTTAGTACTTTTGGGGAATGTATTAACCAACTTTTGGTTATTACGCTTTGTCTTCAGATTATTGGTGTGATCACTGCTATTATTATTCTAAAAGTTTATTATGGAGCTAACATAGTTCAATATCTGTATTTAAAGAGTTCTTAAATAAATCGTTACTTCCGTCAGAATAGTGCCTGCCCCCTCTCCCAGCATAGTTGACAGTTTAAAAAAAGATCATTTATCCACAAAGTTCTTATGGCAATTGGGAAATATGAATATTTCACATACGTCTTGGCACGCCATAATAATAATTGTTCACTTTACTCGAAAGCTTTCTGACGCTAATGAGCATTAAAATGCAACACTTTATTATGCCACGATGTTTGCTATGTCACAACAACAAAGGAGACGACACTTTTCCTGGAAAGTCTTACAAGTTTGCAACAATGCAAATGAATGCTACACATTTCGGAACTTAAGCGCTTGCAAACTTGCAACAATCAACACCAGCAATTTGCCATTGTGCCATGCAACAAGTTCTAGCAAAACATTGTTGCAAAACTCGACATTGTTGTTGGCCACGGAACCACGGCTGCACGGAGCCAAATGATAAATGTTCGAAAGTGCGGAAAGCTGCCGCTCGAAAAGGTTTGCAAACGCTATTATTTTTGAAGAGAAGCAACGCCGTTCCGTCCTATGCTAATAAGTCAAATCTATAAATACTTATATGCGGCAGTAATTCTTTGACGATTTCTTTACTCAAAGTAAAAAGTGTTTTTCTTTACCGTAGACACCGTTTACGCTTTTGTAACCGAGTTAAACACAGCGCGCCAGTCGTTCTTTCTTTTCGCTGTTAGGAGAAAATTTCAAATTCCAGGACCGTCTCCGCTTGGTCTTTCCGACGGAGTGAAGGTCTTCCTCTTCCTCACCATCGAGTATTCTCAGAGCTGGAGTGTTTTCATCTTCATTCGAATGATATGACCTAGCCAGCCTAGGCCGCTCTTAATTCGCTGAACTACAAGTATATCAATGTCATCGTATATCTCGTACAGCATCGTTCCATCGACTGCGGTATTCGCCGTTGTCAATGCGCAAGGAACCATACATCTTTCGCAGAACCTTCCTCTCGAAAACTCGTAACGCCGATACATCGTCTGTTGTCATCGTCCATGCCTCTGTACCATATAGCAGGACGGAAGTTATAAATGACCCATCAAGTTTTGTATTTGTTCGTCGAGAGAGGACTTTTTTACTTCTCAATTGTCTACTCAGTCCGAAGTAACACCTGTTGGCAAGATTTATTCTGCGTTTGTTTGATGACAGGAGATGTTTCGTCTTGCCCTCGTTAACTACCAGACCCATTTTCTTCGCTTCCTTATCCATTCTTTAGAAAGCAGAACTATCATCGCGGTTACTTAGCATTAGTTCCCTAGGACTACGCATCTCTACTCATATCTGAAGTCCACAGCCTGACATAACCTAAAGTGTTTAAATTTTAAATAAAGCAAACGATCACAAAAATCAATATTTGCATACAAAATACATAAGCTTTGACTGGTGGAATGCCCTTATAGACTATATACATATGTACTCGAATGAATATATGTAAGTGCAGAGAAAATTTATTCAAAAAAGTGCACAAACCATAGCAGCAAAAACATGGGCAAAAATAACAGAGCTAATACATGTCGGTATTTTATGTATGTGTATGTGTGTGCGTGTTGTTTGAAGGGTACGAGTATATACGGGGTTCGCTAAGCCTTCTGGCATGTGCGCGCTCGTTGAAGAGTTGGGTGACTCGATAGCCAGCGGCAGCTACGCCAACTTGGCAGACAAAGTTTTCTCGACGCATTAAGAAACAATAATAATAACATTGATGATGACGGCGCTAAAGGTGTTCTAAGGTGTGACGGTGTGCGACTGCTACGTTCTCGACAACAAATATACACATAAATGTCAGTTCGTACATACGAATAAATGTCAGTTTCTTTTGCTCTTCTCTTTGCTGTTCGCGACGACTACTCACTTGTAAAAACGCTCAAATCTGAGCTTTAAAATTGATAATGTAATTTACCAACTCAGCCACTCAATAAAAAGAGCAGAAGTCAACCATCGGCTTCACCGCGATTGAATCGCAGACGCAATGTTTTTCTATTTTTTGTGTTCGTGGTGTTTTTTGTCTTTGTTTTCCCAGTGCTTCCTGCTCAACAGCTTGCCAGCGATAACGGGTTTCACCCCAGTTGACGTTGTTTACATCCGGTTGTTGTCTGCTAAGCGACTTAAGCACGTTGCCATCTAGCAACATATACTTAGTTGTTATGATTGTTTCTGTACGGGTTCATGCTTGTTTAGCTACCTCAAATGAAATTGATGGTTTCCGCTGTGTTGCAGTCTCAACTAGACGGCATATGTAAATGTATATGTGTGTATGTATGTAGCCGCTGTAGCGACATTCGATTACTATTCAGGTGCGTGTGAATATGCTCAACGAAATTGCTCGTGAGTTGGCGCTGTCACCTCACTAACTCAATAAGGAAACTCAATTCAATTCATGGCTGCAACTAAAAACAAGTTTAGCTGGTAAAACCTCAAGACATCAGACAAAAGAATATATTCAAACATGCAGAGACACGTTCGCCAAAAAAAATCCGTCTACATCTATTTAAAGTACTTAAAGAATAAGTACTGAGCGAAATCAAGTTTGTGAAACCCTGAAGGAATTCGTCGGTGATCCTATGAACCTGTTTTATCTCTTCGATCGACGGAAAACGGGTTCCACGGAGCGGTAGTATCAGTTTGGAAAACACGAAAAAAACCACACGGATGCAAATCTGGTGGACATGGTGATTGAT